GGGCCACGGCGTGGAGCTGCCAAGTTGTGGCCAGAGCCGGAGGGCGACCCTGGGGCTCCCCGAGTAGATCGCGGAGACTGGGGCGAGTAGCTTTTGCTCCCCCAACGCCAGCCGAGGCTGGGTGGACGCGCAGCCTTTAACCCCTCCGGCTCGGGGAAACAAGTTCATCCTGGGCGGAGGCGGCTGGACTCAGGCTGGCTGGGCAGCTCCAGGCCCCCAGCTCAGTCCGGTGGTCTTGGCGCATGTCCCCACTCATTCCGGGTTTTCTGTTCTTTCCTATTTACTTGTGTCCAGAAAAAAAAAACTCGGCCCCCGCTGGGCTCTTTGATGCTGCCTTGAAAAATGAGATGATTAATCAATTAGGTTAGTGGCCAATTAGGCATAACCTTGTAGAAAAATAATTATGCCCGCTCTCTAGGCTTTCGCTTGTGATGAGGTGGGAATGCAGCCCAGGTGGAGGGGCTGTTCCGAAAAGATAGGGCTGATTAGGGAATTTCTGGAAATTTAAGATTAACAAGATTCAAATGTGTGGTGGTGGCGGAGATTGAGTGCTGTAGGGGTGTGAGTGTGTGTGTGTGTGTGTGTGTGTGTGTGTGTGTGTGAGGGTGTGTGTGTGTATCAATTTTTGCCAAGGAAGTTAACCCTTAACAAGGCGGCCTGGGTGGACTTGGCAGGCAGCATGTTTCCCACGGCTCTGGCTCCGGAAGGTGTGTCCCCGCTGCCAGCCCCACCCCCTCCTCTCTGAGGGGCTCTCCCTGTAAATCCCTCTCGGTGGCTTTGCCTTCGCTTTGGGAGGCTGAGTTGGAATGAATGCATTTTAGTTTCACGTCCGGGGAACCCTGTCGTGGCCGAGGGAGGTTTCGGTGCTGTGCTTTCTGAGGACACATTTCTCCTCCTCGTGTTAAATAAACCGCGATTAAATGGCAGGTGAAATAAAGCCCAGTCTCGGGCTGGGAAGTTCTGCAGCTGAGCGGGGCTTCCCTTCCCGTTTTTGGGAGTGACTGGCCGGGTTTGGCACTGCAGTGCTCCAGTACAGCCATATTAAAAGATCCTCAGAGCTGGAGCCCTCCACCACCGCAGCCCCGTCTTCAGCAGACTCCCCTGCTCCAGCCTGCTTTCCGGGAGCACGCAGCAGATGTCTGAGTGTTCGGTGTGCGTTTTAACCCCCTCTGGTCTCTATTTTAAGCTCCTCTTATCTATTTATACCTCCATACCCTACATAGTAGATTTTTGTCCAGGAGGCAAACACCTAGAGATGTTCTCAGAGCAGAGGGATTTTTGCAACAGGTCCCAGGTCTGGGCTTTCTGCTAATGGGTCCCCCTGGCATTTGGCAGCCTGGGACCCAGTCTCTCCTTTAGTGACCGATCAGGTTGGACCAGGGGCCTCCGAGATCCCCTGCAGTGCTGACGGTAGCTGGTTCTGAGTTTTATGGCTTGCCTTCCTTTTCAAGCTGAGCCTAGGAGCAGCTGAGCAGGGCAGTGTGACAGCAGCAGTGGCACCTCACTCCGGGTGGGAAGGGATGGGACCGGCTGGCTGGGGCTTATTAGCTGCCTGGTGATACTGGTGTCCAGGGACCACTCGGAGCCATGGGCTCCATCCGCCTTCCTCAAAATGAAGGGCCACCATTCAGCCCTTCTCTTTTCCAACATGATTTTTTCCTTGAATCTGGACTCAGTCACCTTACTATGACCATATTTACCAGTCAGACACTTATACTAGCAAAGACCTTGCTCTGTATCTAAAATTGAAGCTTTTTAATATAGTGGGAAGGGATATGGGGGAAGAGGAAAGGAAAGAGGGAAAGAGGAAGAGGTGTGGAGGGGCAGCGGTAAGAGAAATATAGAAACACAGAGACAGCTTAAGACTTCAAATACAGCCAGACTGGGAAGGAGGTCGGAGAGACAGAGAATGAGAGAAGAAGGGGAGGAGGAAGAAGGGAAGGAAAAGGAGGAAGAGAAGGAGGAGAAGGAGGAGAAGGAGGAGGGGACACAGGCAGTGGAGGGAAAACAGAAATGAGGAATTCTAGTACAGAGAAGGGAAGAGAAGACCCACATGAAGCAAGGTCTTACCTATCATATGTCTTGAAGAAAATGTAAAGGAAAACCCCAAGCTGCCAAAGACTCATTTCAGATAGACTTGCTTTTAACTCAGCTTTCATGTAATGAGGTAATTACTTATGAAATGAACATTGCACCACACAAAGCCATTAACTCAGTTTCCCGTTTCTTCCTTGAATGGGGACTCTATTCATTGGGGTTGGAGCTCAGAAGGGATCTGTCTGCTTAGGAGATGTGCTTTGCTTAGCCCCAGTGCATACTCCTGTTTGGGCCAAGTTGGAGCACTCCAATTGGACAGGCTGGGTATCAGAACAACTTTGGAGGGGAGATTTTTGGTTTTTAGCTCTGTCTTCCATAGAATGGGTGACTTTTTAAAAAGTGTATTTTTAGTTTATTTATCCTTGAAGGAAAAAAGAAACATGAAGGATGGTATAGTAAACACTCTTACCTGCCACCCAGAACTGAATGATGGGGAGAGGATTGCAACTCATTTCCTCCTCTCTGGCCTCCTTGTCCCCTTTTTGGACCATCCTCAGAGCCTCCTGACTCATCTCCTGGCCTCCAGTGTGGGCTTGGCATCACCTTTCTAAAACATCGCTTTCATCATGTTACTCCCTACATCAGAAAATGTAAACGTTTCCCTCTGCCTAAAGCATAGCATTCAAATCTCTGACCATAGGCCTCAAGGCCTTTCATAGCCTGGCTTTCTACCTCCCTCCTAATGGGCTTCACACTCACAGACACACACACACACACACACACACACACACACACACACACAGCAACATACATACTCTCTCACTCATCCTCTCACACAAACACACACACACACACACACACACAAACTCACACCCTCTCACACACACAGCATCACACACCCTCACACACACACTTACACACATATAGACAAACTCACACCCTCTCTTACACACAGCTTCACACACCATCACACACACACCCTTAATAGGAGAAAAAGTCTGGCTGTTAGGGCTGGTAGGGCTGCTTCCTAATTCTCCCCAGCTGCATATCTAAAGCATTACACATATCCTCACAGACATACACACATACCCTCACACACACACACACACACACACACACACCACACACATACACACTACACTTACATCACCTGCACACCACAGCCATGCCTTTCATACCTTGGCAGGTGTAACATTTCTACTCCTTTACCTGACAAACCACTCATCCTTCAGGATCCATCTCAAAAGCAGCATCCACTCAGAGTTCCCTTTCCCTCAGTGAGCTTGTGTTTCCTTAACCCTCTGGACACCCTCTCTTGAAGAACTCTGTTATAATTCTTCATCAGTTCCTCTCCCAATAGGTAGTAAGTTCCTTCCAAGTGGGGATAAGTTATGTACCTCTTCAATCTCAGGGTACAACAGTGCTTGGCACAAGGTACATGATTGACATTTATTGAATACATTCATTTTAAGAGCTTCTAAAGGATGATTAACATTCATGAAATCTTGTTCACTTATTATTTTCTCTTACTCTTATTTTTATTTTTCTTTCTTTTGATTGAAAAATAATACAGGCTTTAAAAACCTTCAAATGGTACAGGAATGTGTAAAAAGTGGCAATCCTTTTCCCATCCCACCTAAATATCCTTTATTTTTTAATGCACATGTTATTAAATACTTGTATTTCTTTTTGACCTTTTGTTTTAAGTCTTATTTTCCTAACTAGATCTTATTCAGGGGTCATGCAATGAATGTCTATGTTTATACCAATAATGCCTAAAGCAGTGTTGTACATGTAATATGTGCCCAGCAAATATGAAATACTAATTGGGTTCATTTTTAAATTACATTAATTAAATGACTTCACTAATCTTCACAATAGCCTGGTGTGATTGGTGCTATAATCCTTGTTTTACAGATAAATAAAGTTAGGCTCCAAGAGGTTATATCAAATGGCCAGGTCAAAAAGGGAAGGAGTAGGGGGGTCTGGATTCAAACCCAGATTTGCTTTATTTGATTGCTTCTGCTCTTTCTGCTCTACTCCATAAGTGGTATGTGGGTACCTAGAGGAAAGGCATCTAACTCAACTTTATATGCCTAATACTTGCTCAGGGCCCCCTAGTTGTCCTTCCAATGAGGTGTCATTATTCTTTTCCAGATGAGAAATGGAAGCACATGTGAGAAGCTAATGTGACTTTTTAAAAAACATTGTCATTTAAAAAAAAAACCACTGTCTTTGAGTTATCTATTATTTGCTGACTATCCTTTCATTTATCTCTTTAGACATATGTACTAGCATATGTAAATTGACATAATTTTATATCTAAGCCAAGCCCCTAGAGCTGGGAAGAAGTGGAAGGTGTTGAATCCAGGCCTTTGGGCCCAGTGCTCACTCCCTATTCTTAGATGTGAGAGTTGATCTCAGAATGGGGTAGGGAGCCTTCTGCTTTTGCTTTAGAACAGTGACTTACTGGGACAGAAGTCTGGCTGGTAGGGCTCCTTCCCAATTCTGCTCATCTGCATACCTGAAGTCTTCTTTGAATCAGAACCATGGACAGAGTTATTTTCTTGAGACT